TACTAATCTAGCATTTCGATAGTGTTGTTAGCAGGTTTGTATGCTTGGACATATCTATCAATGAGTATATGATGTCAAAAGATCAAATTTTTATAACTTAAGCTAATGGGAATTTATGTTGTGAGATGGAGATGTGAACTATGATTGTTTGGGTATTATGAGTGTGTGTTGGTTGGTTCAGGTTCACTTCTAATGGTAGCGAGTATTGATTTAGAATTTTATCATGCTTAAGTGAGAAGGGATTCGTCTTGATTATGGTGTCAAGGTCCATGCTAACATATTGCAGACGTGTGTACGATCAACTTCGGTGGTTATTGGGAATCATTTTTGTTGTTAGATGAGTTTACATACAACATTAATTATCACTCGAGTATTGAGATGATTTCATTGATGCGTTGTATGAGAGGATGTGTAGGTATTCAATTGGTTGGTTTGGGAACATAGATTACATCATAAAGTGAGACTCAGTTTTGTTAAACCAAAACCTTCAGTATGAAGAAGAACCGGTTGCAATTCTTGATCGCGAGGTCCGGAAGCTAAGGACCAAAGAGATAAAGTCTGTGAAGGTTCAATGGAAGCATCGTCCCATTGAGAAAACTATTTGGGAAACCGAGAAGGACATACGAGACAAGTATCCCCAGTTATTTGATGATTCGGGTACTACTTTAACCTTACTTTAGCCAGTCTTTCCTAGTTAATCAATCGGTGACAAGTGATAGGTAAACTGGTATCTATTTTAACGACATATTTCCGTCGTTAGGGAAAAGCCAATGTGGAAAGATTTGGGGCCAGAAAACTTTTGGACAAAATATGAGTCAGTGAGAACTAGGGAAATAGGGTATTGAATGAGAGATTTAATAATAAATTTGATGACACAAGTGGATAGTCAAGACGTTAAGGAAACTGTGTGACTTTACGGAATCAAATTCGGGCGAGTAGAACTCCATAAATTGATCTTAGAGTGAACGGGTAGTTTTTAAATGTCATGGGTTGAAGGTGTGTTGTGAAATGGGGGTTTGAAACTCTAATTCTGACGTTTTGTCTTCGCGCAAGCCGCTGTAGCGGGACAGTCGCGACTTAAGTTAGAAATAAACCCCAAAAATGTTATTTTTTTACAAGTTTTGTTCTTGAGAGCTAAGGGACGAACCAGGGCAAGTTCTTGACAGTTTTCCACCTCTTCTAGCTCTAAAGGTAGGGATTTTACTCCCCTAATCCTCTTTTTGATCCGTAGATATTAGATTTATGGGTTATTATCATTGGCGGAGGGTTTTGATCTGAAACTATTGGTGGAAAAAACCCTAAATTGGGTTTAGGATCTTGGGTTTGGCCTAGGGTTGATAATGTTGATTGTAATTGATGTGCCACGAACTCTTGGCACATTTGATGCTTGAAAACTAAGAATTGATACTAGAATCGAGTATATTTATGTGGATATAATGTGTTTGGTAGTGTTTGTACAGGTGAAACAGATGGACGTGAAAGATGAAAGAAAAGAAGGTTGCTGATAACCAAATGCCAAATGAAGACCACGAGCACTTATACGAGTCGTGGTCCTTGTCACGAATCGTGGTGCTGGTCGTGAAGCTAAACCAGTGAATGGGCAAGGAAAAGTTGAAAAACGAACTGAACCAAGTGAAGAATACAGACGACTTCACGAGTCATGGTCCTCACAACGGCCCGTGGTGCATGTCATGGTAATGAGGCAATGAAGGGGCTTCAGAAGCTGAAAGATGTTGGAGCCAAGTGAAGACCACAGACACTTTCACGGGCCGTGGTCCCTATGACGGTCCGTGGTGTTGTCCGTAGTTCCCTTTCCAGTGTGATGACTTTGAAGACCCAACTTTGGGAAAGTCCAAGTGAAGACCACGGATACCCAGATGGACCGTGGTCTCTTTAACGGTCCGTCATGTTGTCCGTGATGCATGTTCTAGTGATCGAGTATTGCAAACCCAATTTTGGGGAGTTCCAAGGGATGACCACGGAGGGATTTATGGACCGTGAAGCCCTCGACGGGCCGTAGAAGTGGGCGTGAAGTCCCCGACATTTCAGTCCTACCTCGAGTAAGACTCTTTTTAAAACACTATTTTTAAATTAATTAGGTCGTTTTGTATGTTTTATTTTATCATTCATTGAACGACAAACAAGTTTCCAGAATTCATAGATTTTGATATTTGATTTCGGATATTGAATTAAGTTTGAAGTTCGGTTTTTCTAGTTTTCGAAATATCAAAGTGGTGGTTGATTTGCTTATTCTCATAAGTATTTTCTAACATGTTTTCATTATATGTTTCTAAACATTTATGTGAAATTATGAGTAGCTAAACACCACAACTGGGGTTGTGGGATCCATGACGGAATTCTAACTGTGATTTTGTAAAACTAGTGAAAGGCAATTTGTGGTTACAAATTGTAGTTTAGTTTTCGTTATTCATGTATTCTGATGAGTGCACGCATTAGGATGAGCATGTATCTGTCATTTGTTCGAGAGAAAAATGATAGTTAGGAAAAAACTAAACTAATCTAACTAAATGGTTTAAAGTTCGAGAGAAAAGAATCTTAACACCATTATAGGCGGGGGTAAATTGTGTAACACTCTAGGACCGAGATGACTTGAGTGAAGATTATCTAAGTAGACTAAGAAGTGTCAGATATAGTTAACTCGCATGTAATTTGTAGACGTAAGTTGCCTGAAACTCAATTACGGAAGAACGTTAGATGCAATGTTATGGGGAACACAATCCTAGTTTCAGTTAATTATTGAAACAACTTCAAAACTGATATCTTGTTCATTTTTTAATTAGAGTTACTTTACAATTTTGGCTACTAAAGCGTTAACGCTAAACCCAATTTTACTTTCAATAATTGTTTATTTAGGAAATAATAACGACATTTGAGTAAAATGCGATAGTGAAATCATTTTTGTAAAGAAATTCTATGTGGGATCAACCTCAACTCACATTGAGTTCTATAAATTGACTTCAACCATTTATATCTCTTAATTGAGGTGTAAGTTTGGACGTATCAAATTTTGGCGCCACAACCAGGGAATTTCAATTCAGAAGTGTTTTACTAGCTTTTATTCTAAGTGTAGTTAGATTTCCTAATTTTATGTATTGTTCTTTGTCTGTCTCTTTCAGGTGAGTTCGACAGTGTATGCCAAATACTAGGAGTAAAGGAGCTCCATTGATTCCTTATGACCTAGAACTTCGTAGAACTATTCAAAAAATCGTGAATGCACAAGAACTTGAGGCACAAAGACAGAGATTTGGATTGGAAGCTGAAACCGTCGCAAGAGGTGTTCAACCAAATGTTGTGAACAACCAACCTAGGATAGTGGACAAAAACATAGCAGTGGATGGAATCATTCCTCCCCATCGCCAACCAGTAGCTCCAATGGGTAGAGCATAACATCTAGCTCACATGATGTATGAGGAGTATGACTTAGACTTGGATGGAGCTGGAGCCATAGGAGCGATAGTGTTACCTGCACTACCTCCAAGTGTTAAATTCACAATCACCGGCACTATAATTCAACTGCTGAATCTGAAAGATATGTTTAGGGGTGCAACTAGTGATAATGTTAATCAACATTTGATGAACTTTGGGGCGATCTGCAAATCGCAAGAAATTCCTGGAGTTAGCCACACAACAATGAGACTGAGGTTGTTCCCATTGTCTCTTACTGGAGAGGCAACAAATTGGCTGAATGAGATGCATGATGACTCAATCAGGACTTGGACTGAACTGAATGAAGCTTTCCTGGAACGATTCTTTCCAGAATCAAAAGAGTTGCAAATGAAAGACGAGATAAGTGCCCATAAGCAGCTACCAGGAGAAGCGATGCATGATACCTGGTGGAGATTCAGCTAAAAGTTGAAGAAGTGTCCAAACCATGGTCTCACTGAGAGGCATCTAAAAGAGGCATTTTACAGAACCTTAAATTATGTTACTAAACTTGTTGTTGATGCAGTGTGTGGATGATCTTTTATGAGGAAGCCATTCTCAGAAAGCATGCAGCTGATGGACGAGGTGTCAAAGAGTAACATGTCATGGTACACCAAGGATGTAGAAGTAGGAGATCTTGGGTATACTTATGAACTTTCAGCTGAGCAAAGGAAGAGAAAAGAAGAAAGGGACCTAGACATGGTACACATGAGGACTCAAATAGATCGCTCACAAAGCATATTGTCGCCAAGTCTGAAAAGGTAAATGTTGTGGGACAGCAGAACAAGTATGAAGATCAGGACATCGATCTAGATGAGGAAGCTAACTACCTGGGCACTCAAGGAGGTCTCCAGAATTATAACTCGGGAAACCAGGGTTAGAATTCTGGAAATGCAGGTCAGAATTATTTTAGAAAAAGACAATATGATAGGCCAGAAAACAGAGAGAAGGGAAACTGGCAGAACAGAGATGGGTACAAGAATGATAGCAGTGGTGTGTATGCACCACCAGGTAATAGAGACCGAGCAAGTGGTAGTTCTAGTGGATCTAAGCTAGAAGACATGATGGTTAAGGTACTCCAAAAAGTTGAGTCAACTGATGCAGGGGCTAAAGAGATGAGAGGTGACTTCTCGAGTATGAGTCAACTGGTGGACTCTCACACCACCTCCATCAAGCAAATTGAGCAGCAGTTGGGGCAGCATTCAGCATCATTAAATCAGAGGAAGAAAGGGTCACTACCAAGTGACACAATCCAAAATCCTAAGAAGGACGGGCACTGCATGGCCATCGCCACCAGGAGTGGTAAGATTATTAATGAATCAATTTCTGCAGGTACTGAGAATGAACAGGTTGTGGATCAAGCTAGAAGAGTGGAGGTTGAAGCTGAACATGAAGATGACTCAGAGGATGCCCAGCCAATAACACAACATGCAAGAGGAAAAGAGAAAGAGGTTGAGGGAAACATGCCTTTACAGTAGATCCCAAGACCACCTCCTCATTTCCCTCAAAGGCTAAAAAAGAAAGCTGAAGATAGGAAGTTTGCAAAGTTCATTACCATGTTGAAACAACTTTCAGTGAACATACCGTTGGTGGAAGCCCTGGAGCAGATGCAAGGATATGCCAAGTTCATGAAAGACTTGGTTACAAAGAAGAAAGCTGTAAGTATTGATTTGACTAACGATGTCCATCATTGCAGCGCCATTGCTACCATATCTTTGGTTCAGAAGAAGGAAGATCCAGGTGCATTTACTATACTATGCACCATTGGATTAATCATATTTGCAAAGTCCTTGCATGATCTAGGAGCCAGTATCAACTTGATGCCTTTGGCCATCTACAAGCAATTAGGGTTAGGAATTCCAAGACCCACATCAAAGAAGTTAATGATTGCAGATAGGTCAGTGAAGTGGCCTCTGGGAATCCTATGTGATGTACTTGTAAAGATGGACACGTTTATCTTTCTGGCAGACTTTCTGATCTGGATTGCGAAGTAGATTTTGAGGTTCCCATTATTTTGGGAAGACCATTTTTTGCCACAGGACGAGCATTGGTAGATGTTGAGCGAGGAGAACTGAAATTCAGACTCAACAAAGAAAAGGTTAAGTTCAATATTTGAAGGTGAATGAAACAGCCACATGACATGAATGTAGTGTTTGTAGTAGAGGTTGTTAATAAAGAAGAAATGAGAGTACCCACAGAAGAGAGGATGGATGTTGAAACCGTAGCTGCAGTGCTGATGAACTTTAAAGCTGATTTCTGGTCTGACTATGTAGAGACTGTGAATGCTTTGCAGGGTATGGGAGCACACTCGTATGCTCCAAAGTAGTTGGACCCAGACTTGAAAAATAGGTTGAATCCTCCAGTAAAACCATACATTGAGGAGCCACCGATGCAGGAATTGAACAGTTACCCAGTCACCTGAGGTATGTACTTTTGGGAGCTAACAACACTTTACCTGTGATTTTGGCTACAGATTTGAATGATGAACAGGTTCAGGCTGTGATCAAGGTATTGATAAGGTACAAAAGGTCCATTGAGTGGACCATTGAGGATATCATCGAGATACCTCCAGGAATATGCACCCATAAGATTCAACTCGATGAGGACTGCATCCCAAGCATTAACACCAGTGGAGGTTAAACCCACCTATGCAAGAAGTGGTCAAAAAGGAGATCATTAAGTGGTTAGATACTGGGGTGGTGTACCCCATTTCTGATAGTCATTGGGTCAGTCCAGTGCAATGTGTGCCCAAAAAGGGAGGTATGACTGTGGTTGCAAACGCCAAAAATGAGTTAGTCCCGTAGAGACCAATCACTAGATGGCGAGTATGCATGGACTACAAGAAGCTGAACAAGTGGACTTTGAGATATCACTTCCCAATGTCTTTCATAGACCAAATGCTTGATAGGTTGGCTGGAAAATGGTGGTATTATTTCTTAGATGGATACTCTGGTTACCACCAGATATCAATTGCTCCTGAAGATCAAGAACAGACCACATTCACATGTCCTTATGCTACCTTTGCGTTTAAACGCATGCCATTTGGACTATGTAATGCACCAGCAACATTCCAAAGGTGTATGATGTCTATTTTCTCGAACATGGTGGAGGACACTCTGGAGGTATTTATGGATGATTTTTCAATGGTAGGTGATACTTTTGATGATTGTTTATTTAATCTTAGCAGGGCCTTACAGAGATGCGAGGAGGCCAACCTCAACCTAGTGTTGAACTAGGAAAAATGCCATTTCATGGTCAAGAAAGGAATTTTCCTTGGGCACAAGGTATCATAAAAGGGGATAGAGGTCAACAAGGCCAAAATTGAGGTGATTGAAAAGTTACCTCCACTGATCTATCTGAAGGGTGTTCGAAGCTTCTTAGGACACGCTAGGTTCTATAGGCGTTTAATCAAGGACTTCTCTAAGATTGCACATCCCATGTGTAGGCTTTTGGAGAAGAAGGTGAATTTGTTTTTGATGAGACATGTTTCAGAGCTTTTAAATGCCTAAAGGAGAAGCTAATCTCTGCCCCAATGATCAGTGGCCCAGATTGGGCCGAACCATTTGAGGTGATGTGTGATGCTAGTGGTACTGCTCTAGGAGTTGTATTATAGCAGAAGCGAAACAAGATGTTCCATCCGATTTACTATGCTAGTAAGTCACTGAATGGAGAACAACAAAATTACATAGTCACGGAACAGGAACTACTAGTTGTGGTGTACGCTTTTGAGAAATTCAGAGCATACTTGTTGGGCACTAAAGTGATAATTCACACAGATCATGCAGCTCTGAGATACCTTATGGCGAAGAAAGATGCCAAGCCAAGGTTTATCAGATGGGTGTTGCTTCTCCAAGAGTTTGACTTTGAGGTTAATGATAGGAGAGGTTGTGAGAACCAGGTAGCTGATCACCTGTCTAGGTTAGAGGCTGAAAAGAAGGAAAATCTGGAGTTTGAAATAAATGATGCATTTCCGGATGAGCAAGTATTAGCCACTACTCTTGATCTTATTCCTTGGTTTGTTGATTTTGCTAATTTTCTCGTTAGTGATTTGATGCCTGAGGGGTTGACATATCAACAAAAGAAAAGGTTCATGCATGATGTGGGTAAGTACTTTTGGGATGAACCTTATCTGTACAGGGTGTGCGCTGAAAACATCATTAGGCGATGTGTTCCTGAAGGTGAGATGTTGCATATTCTAGAAGCATGTCACTCCTCTCTTGTAGGTGTTCATCATTAAGGTGCTCGGATAGCCCGCAAGATACTTTATTGTGGGTACTACTGGCCCAGAATTCATCAGGTTGCGATGGATGTAGTGAGGATTTGTGATGTGTGCCAGCAACAATGAGCTATCTCTCGGCGCCATGAGTTACCCATGACACCTATCCTAGAGGTGGAGCTATTTGATGTGTGGGGAATCGACTTCATAGGCCCATTTGTGAGCTCCTATGGGAAGAAGTACATTTTGGTTGCAGTGGACTATGTTTCCAAATGGGTTGAGGTAGTTGCTTTGCTTGAGAATGATGGTAAGAGTGTTGCTGGTTTTCTGAAGAAGAATATCTTCTCAATGTTCGGCACACCCAGAGCTATCATCAGTGATGGTGGTTATCATTTCTGCAATACGGTATTCAGCTCTCTTCTGGCTAAATATGGAGTTAAACAACACAAGGTAGCAACACCTTATCACCTACAGACCAGTGGCCAAGTGGAGGTCTCCAACAGAGAAATTAAAGTAATTCTGGCTAAAACGGTGAATGCCAACAGGACAGATTGGGCACGGAAGTTAGATGATGCTTTATGGGCATATCGGATAGCTTTCAAGACGCCTATTGATATGTCCCTATATCAATTGGTGTGTGGAAAGGCATGTCATTTGTCGGTTGAGCTTGAGCATAAAGCACTCTAGGCTTTGAAGAAGCTGAACCTTAGTTAAAGCAAAACTACAAACCTGAGGTTGGATCAGATCAATGAGATGGATGAGTTCCGTCCTAGAGCCTATGAGAGGTCTGCACTGTATAAAGAGAGGATGAAGTTATATCATGACAAGCATATTGAGAAAATAAGCCTCACTCCTGGTGACTTGGTGTTACTTTTCTACACCAGACTTCATTTGTTCCCGGAAAAGTTGAGATCCAAATGGTCTGGATCTTTTAAGGTAACGCATGTGTTTCAGTCAGGTGCTATTGAGCTGGAAAATGATAAGGGCAAAAGGTTCAAAGCTAATGGCCAGCGAATCAAGGCATACTTGGGTGTTCCAGCGGATGTGAAGATTGTGGAGGAATGCAAATTTGATGAAGTCTGAGTAATCAAGTAGCCTATGTTGCGCCGCGACGTTGAAGTGTGTACTGCTTGGGAGGCAACCCAAGATGTAATTGTAGTAGGTATTTCCCTTTTTCTTTATTTTTCTTAGTTCTTATAGAGTCACTGTGTGTTGATGTGTGCAGGAGAGAATGAGTTAAAAAGTGCAGGAACTGGGTGCAGACTGCTCTTCACGGGCAGCCTCACGGACCGTGGTGCCCTTCACGGGCACTTTCACGGTCCGTCAATTTTAGCACTAACCTAAAGGATCTACTGGAATTTGCAAGAAAGGGTTCATGGTCCGTCATGATTTGTACGGACCGTCTAGCCTCTCGTGAACCACATGTAAGCACTTCGTCCCAAGTCAGTTCCATGGATCACTGGACGAACTGTGGTGACCTCACGGGCACTTACATGGTCCATTTTCTACAACCCAGTCCCACCAATACTCGACCCGACTCGCGATTGCATCAAAATTAAAAGAATCGGCTATATGATTCCTAAAGTGCCAAGGGTCGGGGTTTTTCATCTTAGTCTCTTCCATAACGGTTCTTCAAAGGTTTAAAATGGTTCCCATCATTCATAATTCCTAAATTTATCAAAGAATCAAAGCCCTAATCCTAAGTATCAAAAATATCAAGTTGAATTCACTGATCCATCTTGCTAAGCAAAACTTTCTTCTAAGTTCCAAGTAAGTTCTCTTATCACTTGAAATATGTTTAATCTTATATAAAAGTGAGTGTGAATTACTTCGATTTAATCAATATTAGCATGATTATGTGATGCACAACTTTGATTGGTATTGAATTGTTGTGGGTTAAGTTGAATTGGGTATAGTTTATTGTTCTTGTACATGGGTATTATCACAGTGTTTCTAAATTAGTTGTGAGTTTATGGGGGCAGTTGAATTCATAAAGGATAGTAGTGTTGTGTGGATACGTGTGGGTGTGATCCTGTGTAAAAATTGGAGTTTGGTGAATGTGGGGAAGAAGATGACTAAAGACTTGGCCAAATGTAAGACCACGATAGGTTTTACGGACCGTGGTTCACTCCACAGGCCGTGTAACTGTCCGTGAACAGTACTTGGTAAACCTCTTGTTACACACTGAGTTTGTGATAAATCCATGAGGGGTTTAACGGACCGTGGCACCTACCACAGCCCGTGGGAGCTTCCGTACAGTTTACTCATATTTTGTACAGTTTAATTTTGTACTTTTTCGCTATTTCATCTCTTGATTCCATGGCCCTTCCCAATGATAGATTGGGTGACGACATTTTTAAGGTAAGGTGTCATGATGTATTTACACAGGGGAAGTCTAAGTACCCGATAGTGTGTCATTTTATTGATTTGTGTAACTAATGAGTTTTGTAATTCTCAGGTACTATGCCTCATCGAAGAGAGAATGCAACCAAACCTGCCCCCATCACTGCTTCGTAATCTGAAGGTCATGACGACTCCGAATCTAGTAGTTTCGAGGTGAAAATAAATGTCACACCTGACGATCATCCACTTCGAGCTACTAGATCCACAACAGTGAGGGCAATCTTCCAGGACACTACTCCTCAATCTGAAGAAGGAGGTAGTAGTTCTGGTAACGGGGAGGACTCGGGAAGTAAATCAGAGGCTGCTTCTGGTAGCCAATCTGCTGATAATTTGGGGGGCAGTACAAAGTTTGAAAGTGACAGGAAGATGTAACCACCCCTCCACCTGTGATAAATAAAGAAGTTAAAACTAGAGTAAGGGAGGAGACAGATGCTACAGAGAATGATATAGAGATCACCACCGATGACACCATGGTGATGTATGTAAATATGCATGAACCTAATCCCACAGTGAGACAACAGTTGATTGATTGTTACCGCTCCATGTGGACTATCAACCAGTCTGAAGAATTCTTCAACAATGGCATTGTGAACAAAACTGGCGGCTTCAAGAAACGAGCAACCATGCCTGAGACTAGGGTGATGGTAGCTGATATCAAAGCATTCCCCAACATCTATTGGATATTTCAGCTTCATCAGTTTGAATGGATGGACAATGCAGCTGGAGAATACTCTAGCTACCTGGAAAGAGAGTTTTATTCATCTTATGCATCTACACTGATGAACTTTGTTGCAGAAATAGAGACTACGAAACGTGGACATAAAGGTATTGCTATTACCTTGGGTCCATTCAACTCAATTATAGTTTGGGGCAAATCAATAAATATTTCTGGGGCTACTATTAACAGAATGTTGCATGGCCCGGAATACTCTGCACCAGCGTCAGTTGGTTCTTTTGAGGGCAAACATCATGAGGTCACCAATGATACTACGATGGAGGATTAGAATTCTCGAGAGAGGGTTTTGCACTTGATTATGAAGCAAATTGCCAGAGATGGGGAGAATGCAGCTTGGGTCATCACAACTCCAACACTCATTACTGAAGCTTCACTGTCTTTTCCAGCCAAGGTTTGGTGGGCTGCCGTCCAGGCATAATTACGACCGACAGCTAATGATAACACTTTGTCCCCTTCCCTGGCTTCGTTGGTAGCATATTTTATGGTTGGTTACCCGGTAAATGTGGGGTGGATTATAGCGGCTGAGATGAGAGACAGGGCACTAAATGAGAGAGTCGGACTTCCATTTCCTTGTCTAATAGGGAAATTATGTCGACAAGTGAGCATTCCTCCAAATAGGCTGGTTGACAGATGGGATGAAACATTCAAACTCATCCAAGTTTCTAAGATCAAAGATGTCGCGAACCATCTCTTTGGTGTGAAATATGCAGTTATAGGTACCTTAGTTGTTGTCCCTCACGTACCAATTGAGATCCCACATGTAGATAGAGGTCCAGAACAAGGAGAGTCATCGCAGCCTTCCACAGAGGCACCACCACCTCCAACTTCAGTCTCCCAGGCTCCAGGTACCTTTGTCACTATCCCTATGCTATTTCTTGAGAAATTGGTTGCAGATCAGCGCCAAACCAGGACCTTGGTCGACCAGATAGTCAACAGGATGGCTCAACTGATACAGAGAAATGTGTTAGCTGTGAAGAATGAGCTTAAAGATGAGATGCGGAAGGAGTTGGATGTCTTAAAAGACAGGATAGATGGTTTGGAAAACCTTATCCAGGCTGCAGGATCAGTAGATGATGAAGAGTTCAAATCACAGTTGGCGGAGATGTGAACTCAGGTTGCTAAACTGGCTGAAAAGCCAGTACAGGTACCCACTCCAGTTATGCTAGATTGTTTAATACAACTGCTAAATCAAGCACCCTTCACTCAATCAATTGACGATCTCTGGGTGAACTACCCAAGAGTAAGTCCGGCAAGAGAAAACATAGAGCTGGAGAATCAAAAGATGAGATACCTACTGACCAGTACAGAGAGGAAAGAAGACAAGAAAAGAAATCCCGCAAGGCATCAGGAAGGCAGTTAGAGAAAAAAAAGCCCTTGAGCAACAACAATGAGATGCAATGTCACTTGGAGCTTCTAGTATCAGAGCACTTACCCCGACGAGTAGTAGCCTACCTAATTATGTGCTGAGTTTTGAGAGTGCACCCGTTAATAAGGGTGTCGATGTTGAGCCGACTACTGGCGCCTAAAGCGTCGTAGGTATGACTCCTCCTCACAACCCTGTTTTATTTTCTCTATTGACTTTGATGGAAAAGTCCTTTTTTTGGGAGTGGGTGGTGAGCAACATGCCATTCTAGCTGTTAGAATGAATGGAGGTTAACTCAGTGTTTACTGTGAAAAATGCTATGGTTTTGTGTTTTGTGTGTTGAACTGTGCAGCAGCGAGTCTGTTAAAAATGACTACCTAAATCTGAAATTTGATTGTTAGGATCTTTAGATGACATCTTAGATACTCACATGTTGACCATTGTTGGTCTGATAAAAAATTGGTGAACCAAGAAACTGGATGATGTAGTCCTGTGTCATATGTATGTGAGTGTTATTTGAAGTCTAACACTAGGAGCAGAAACTAGTACTTGCCCGAGTAGTCTTTCTTAAGTCTGAAAATAACCGAATAGGAAAGGATAGTAAGCCATTTTTGTAAGCCAGTAAAAAGCCAAAAAAATAGAACTACAAAATAAAAAGATTACCACTTGAACCCGATTTGAGCCTAAAAGTCAGTTTTTGTTCTTATCCAGTAAATATCATATCCTTTGGTTTTCGAAGATACGATGTCACAACTCAGGCCAAAAGCCAAAGTTGAGGGTGATTGCAATCCGAGCAGAAAGAATAAGTGAAAAAGAAGGTTCAACCAGTAGCGGAGTGCATATAAAAAAAAGTAAAAAGTGTGAAGAAAAGAAAAAGAAAAAGAAAATAATGACGGTTGGGATGTGCTGAAATGAAGTAAAACAGGAAATCGCTCAGAAAAGAGTGGTGTGCAAACAAAACTTTGGGAAACCAAGGGACTAGTCACTCATAAACCCAAATATCCATTCCCTAGCCTGAGACTATGTTACAATCCAATAAAGCCCTACAGTGATCCTATTCCGGGTGTTTGAAAGATAGAGCGTAGAAAGCAAGGGCAAGCCTATGGTAGTTTGTTGCTAGTGTCAGAAGTTCTTTCAGAGTGCGAGCGTAGTATTTAGTCCCAAATTATCATGAGTGATGGGCTTCTTTAGTGTGAGGACACATTGATTACATTTGAGAGTAGATTGAGTTAGCTAATAATTCACGGGCATAACCATGATTGATTGTAAGTAATGAGATGTCATAGATTGATCCTTGCATGTTAGATTCATGGTTTTGGATATAAAGTATGTTTAAATGGCTGCTGCGTAGTTTCAAAAGTGTTTGAATGATTTGAGGGCTGAAAATATTGTTTTCTCATCACTTGAGAACAAGTAATGGTTCTAAGTTGAGGGTGTTGATGTGCCCTAAACTCTTGGCACATTTGATGCTTGAAAACTAAGAATTGGTACTAGAATCGAGTATATTTATGTGGATATAATATGTTTGGTAGTGTTTGTACAAGTGAAACAAGTGGACGTTAAAGATGAAAGAAAAGAAGG